TCCGGCTCCCAAACACCGAGGCTGCGGCCACACACGCCAAAGAATCCACTTCCAATCCACTTCCAGTGCATTTGCCAACTGGGCTTTTACCGTGTGAACGGGCAGAATCCAGTTGGCAAGTGCACCGGAAGTGGATTGGGAGTGGATTCCTTGGCGTGTGTGGCCGCAGCCTTAGAAGTCGATTTCACACCAACTGCATACAATCTATTTCGTTTTAGCGTAAGTGCTTCTGTGCGCGCCTCCGGAGAATCCTTCCCCGAGAGAGTCTGATGTCGTGAAGGGACGCCCTTGGACCGGAATCGGTTGAACCGCTTCGGAGTGGCCTGCGGGTCGTGGAGACCGCGGTCAGATCCTGGACTCCGAACCCGGATATACCCTTCTTCAGGAAGCCCCACCAAATTCAGCAAGACCGCGGCCCGATAGGACCCAGCGCCCGCCACTCTCGACTTGGCCGGCTTGCGGACCGGGGTGTCGCTGGACGCGTGCCCGCGCCTCGGGGCAGGCCGACCGAGGCTAACAGTGCCTTGACCCGGCCCCCCTGCACAGGCGCCGCAGCCACCTCTCGCTCCTGCCAGCCTCGGCGCCGTTACTGGACAGCGGGGTCTCTGTAAAGTGTCCGTACCTGTAGTCCGCCTTTCTCGCCGGGTCTCGAGGCGGAGGACGCAGAGCGCGTCAAGACGACGGACAGGAGGGGGCACTCCGCACACCACCACCAGGCCGTGGGAATCAGGGTTGCAAGACCAAACAGAAATCTAAACGATCGAACTGAAGCGGAGCGTAAGGATGACGGGACACCTCGAAATGCCGCCACGCGACATCCCACGATGAGGCCAATTTCACACGCATTGGATGCTGCACTGTCGGCGCGCTTTGGCGATCCTTTGCGGCTGGGTTTTCTGGAGCGAAACAGGAAACTCTACTTGCTAAAGTACACTGGAAGCGCAGCGTCCAACCTGTGTGAAAGTAGCCCCATAGGAGGCTCCGGCTTGCAGCAAAGGGGTCCCCCGCAGTCCAAGCAGACCGGGGTCCCCGCAGTCCAAGCAGGGCGCGCTGCCCGGTTGCCCGCGGAGGAAACGCGCTCTCGAAGACTCCCGTTGTGCGCCGTCCGCGAACAGCCCGGGCAGGGGGGGAGCCTTCGGGACGTGAGGAGGCCGGCCTTTCCCACGGAGACAGGCTCGAGCGGCTTCGGAGCAGTCGGAGCGCCCACTGGTCTCCCCCGCCCTCCGGCAGAGGGGCTCCGCGTTCCGGGGCCGACCAGCGGCACTCCGAACATTTCCTCCCCGGTCAGCCTTCCCGGGGCCTCCCTCCCGGACGGGGCCCTCGCGCAGCCTTTCCTTCCCGGCCGTGTCGTCGTCTCCCCCGGCAAATGACAGCCCTGACGCGGCAGAGCGGAGGATGTGCGGGGTGCGCCGGCCGCGGTCTCCGGAGAGTCATCCATCACCCGCAATCGAGCTGTCAGCGCGGGCAGGCTCGTCCCCGGGAGGCAGGTGGGGGAGGCGGGGAGGGAGGGAGG